TGGTAGAGCACTTGCCTTGCATGCCTGAGGCCCTGGGTTTGATTCCTCAGCACCACATAAGCAAAAAGAAAAAAAGTCGGAAGAGGCGGTGTGACTCAAGTGGTAGAGCGCTAGCCTTGAGCTGAAGAGCTAAGGGACAGCGCCCAGGCCCAGAGTTCAGGCCCCACGACCAGGACCCCCCCCCCCAAAAAAAACAAAAAATTCTTGATTTTTTTTTTTGTTCTGTTTCCTCCTTTAAACTATTTCTCTCTTTCCCTCTCTCTCTCTCTCTCCCCTCTTCTCTCTTTCTCTCCCCCCACCCCTCTAACTATGTGTGTGTGTGTATGTATGTATTTATCATTCCTGCCCCCCCCCCCCCAAAAAAAAGCTGGGTGCCAGTGACTCACGTAATCCTAGGTACTCAGGAAGCTGAGATCTGAGGATGAGATTCTAAGCCAGCTTGTTCAGGAAAGTCTATTAGACTCTTATCTCTAATTAATCACAGTAAAAGCTTGAAGTGGTGTTGTGGCTCAAGTGTTAGAGTGCTAGCCTTGAGCAAAAAGAGCTCAGGGAAGCCGGGCGCTGGTGGCTCATGCCTGTAATCCTAGCTACTCAGAAGTCTGAGATCTGAGGATCGCGGTTCAAAGCCAGCCTGGGCAGGAAAGACCGTGAGACTCCTATCTCCAATAAACCACCAGAAAACCGGAAGTGGCGCTGTAGCTCAAGTGGTAGAGCGCTAGCCTTGAGCTGAACAGCTGAGGGACAGCGCCCAGGCCCAGAGTTCAAGCCCCCCAACTGACCGAAAAAAAAAAAAAACTTGGAACCTGGAAAGACTCTCCTTGTGCCGTTATGTATGGATACGCTTACAGTTTTGAAAATTTGGAGACCAACCAGACAAAGCAAATGGTTAGTATTTTTATGGCACATTCTAAGATATGTTTCCACTTCAGCAAAGGCCAATGATCTGTCATTGCACACCTGACATACATAGGCCTTTTTCCAGGCTTATGACTGTCCCTCGTGTTTGTGAGAGAGCCTGATCTGTTTCAAATAAAATCACAGGTTTTACAGACAGAGGGCTCCCAGGCAGTAAGCGCTGTCAATGTGGACGGGTGGGATTGTTAGTTACTCCTCTGCTTCTCAAGTTCCACATGGTGCTTCACATAATTCACGAGTAAAACTTTTTAAAGAACTTGAAGGTGGCTCAGTGGTACAATGCTTGCCTCACATGCATGAGGCCCTGGGTTTGATTCCTTGACACCACATAGAAAAAGCCAGAAGTGGTGTTGTGGCTCACAGTAGAGTGCCAGCCTTGAGCTGAAGAGTTGAGGGACAGTGCCCAGGCCCAGGGTTCAAGACCCACAACTGACCAAAAAAAAAAATGGGCTGGGAAGGTGGCTCAGTGGTAGAGTGCTTGCCTCCCATGCATGAGGCCCCGGGTTCAATTCCTCAGCACTACATAAGTAGAAAAAGCCGGAAGTAGCACTGTGGTTCAAGTGGTAGAGCGCTAGCCTTGAGCTGAAGAGCTGAGGGACAGCGCCCAGGCCAAGAGTTCAAGTCCCACGACCAACAAAAAACAAAACAAACCAAAAACAAAAAAAAAAAACCAGAGTCTCATAGAAGGGGGGGGGGGGGAGGGAGGAGGATGGAAAGGGATGGGAAGGGGAAACAAAGGAGGAGGCTACAATGCTTGATAAAAAATGTACTCATTATCTTGCCCATGTAATTGTAACCCCTCTGCACAGTATTTTCACAATAAAAAAATAAATAAAATTAAACAAAAAAAGAACTTCAAGTACCAGAGACAATTAAACTCTGTGTGCCCTGGGTGCTTGTCTCCTCTATTCTGTCCATAGTAAAAGCCATAAGTTCAGGACCAGAAGTCATATTTCAGCTTACCAACTATAAAAATCTGTTTTTACCAGCCCTTCAAAACTATTTGCTGGGTCTCAGTTCTTAGGAGACAAAGGTATCTTTTTTTTTTTTTTTGGTCGGTCATGGGACTTGAATCCTGGGCCTGGGCGCTGTCCTTCAGCTGTTCAGCTCAAGGCTAGCACTCTACCACTGGAGCCACAGCCCCACTTCATTTTCTGAGTGGTTTATTGGAGATAAGAGTCTCTGGGACTTTCCTGCCCAGGCTGGCTTTGAACCAGGATCCTCAGATCTCAGCCTCCTGAGTATCTAGGATTACAGGCCTGACACACTGGTGCTTGGCAAAAGGTACCTTTTAAGTTTATGGAAATGATTGCCATTCTGAGCCTGGGTTGACCTGAAGCAGTCACCCTTTGTGGGTATGAGAGACAGCTGAAGGCCACAGCTGAAGAATGAGCACTTGCAATTCTACCTGAGTACAGACTGTTTAGGATTTCTGCTACTTAATATCTGAAGTGGAAGGTTGCTGAGTTGTCTTATCTCTGCCTCCTACAGAAAGTACATTTCCCTTTAGACAATGAGACCTTGTCAGGAGAGACTTTGGGAATTGGGTGGAACAACCTGCTGAGCTAGTTTCATAAGGTTTGGATAAAGACTTAGCAGTGATAGGACTGTTTATCTCCACTCAGGCTGAGAAGCTGGAGCACTGGCAAAGGTCATCTGTTTGGCTATGATGGTGACAAATGTCATATGAATTGTAGGCTGCAACACCTGAGCAGGATCTTGACTTAGGTAGCCTTTCCTTTTTTTGTTTTGTTTTGTTTTTGTCGGTCGTGAGCCTTGAACTCTGGGACCTGGGCGCCGTCCCTCAGCTCTTCAGCTCAAGGCAAAAGTACTCTACCACTTGAGCCATAGCCCCACTTAGGTTTTTCTGAGTGGTTTATTGGAAATAAGAGTTTCTCAGCCTTTCCTGGGATGGCTTTGAGCCTCATATCTCAGCCTCCTGAGTAGCTAGGATTATAGGCTTGAGCCACCATGCCTGGCAGCCTTTTCTTCTTACAGTGTATGATTGGAGGGTAACCTGTTCAAAAGGTTTGAAGTGGTTTTGGATTTGAACAGGACTTCAGTGTGATGTTTCGTCTTATCAAAACACCATCATCATTCTTGCCTCTGGATTCCCTCTGATGCTTCTTCAGTGGTTCTGGCTCTGGCTTTCCTTACTCAAGGAGAAGCAATCTGCCATTTAAAATTACTGCTTGGTTGAAGCAAGTGCTCCCTTCAGAGCTGTGGTTTTGTAAGTTATTTTATAAGCGATTGTTTTATGTGTTTCTCAGAAGGTATGAGTCCTTTCTGGGATCACGAGACCGTGTTGATAATGAACTATACAACTTGTGGGCAGGGACAGGAGGGGAAACTGGGAGGGAGCAAGGGACAGAGTGACATGTATAACTGTAACCCCTCTATACATCATCTTTATAATAACAATTAAAAATCCTTTCTGTTTGCTTTTCTATATTATAGAAGAGTTTGAAGAATCTTGTCCTGGGCAGTTCTTTGTGTGTAATTTTTCTCTTTAGAAGTTTGTTTGGATTTTCTGTTTGTTCTTCAGTTTCATTTTTGTTTGGGAGGGATTGTTGATATATATTTTTGTTTGTTTGTTTTTGTTTTTGTCAGTCGTGGGGCTTGAACTCTGGGCCTGGGCACTGTCCTTGTGCTCTTCAGCTCAAGGCGAGCACTCTACCCCTTGAGCCACAGCACCACTTCCGGTTTTCTAGTGGTTTATTGGAGAAAAGAGTCTCAGGGACTCTCAGGGCTGGCTTTGAACCGAGATTCTCAGATCTCAGCCTCCTGGGTAGTTTAGGATTACAGGCGTGAGCCACCGGCACCCAGCTGGGTTGTTGGTTTTGTTGTTCCTACTGCTGTTTTTATTGATGGTTCTGGGGTTTTGCACTCGAGGCTTCACACTTGCTAGCAAGTGCCCTACCACCTGAGTCTTGCACCAACCCCTTTCTTTGCTCTGATTATTTTTGAGATAGGATCTCTGTTCTCAAGCCTTCCCCCTACTTATGCTTCTCACTATAGCTGGCTTGACAGATGTGTGCCACCATGCCAGCTTAAAGAATCAAGCTACTTTTCTTGTGAATGTCCCAATATGTCTAGGCTTCACTGATTTTCCCTTGTGATTATGTTCTGTTTAATACATTTGACAAGAAAACTGACAAAGGAAATGTTATACCCTTTATGTTTGATAAAGTCTAGAGTCACATAACATCATCTTTTCCAAAGATTGGTAATAGTTTCATTTGGGTAAGGTGATATTCACCAATTTTTCCATTGCAAGTGTATCTTTTAGCCTTTAGGAAAAATGGGAGAAGGGGCTTAAATACCTTGTGACTACAAGGATGGATATCATTCTCCACCCATCCTTACAAGAGGTTTATCATCCATGATCATTGCCTGACTGAATTTAGGCCTACAAAATGATGGTTAATTACAGATAACCCTCTAACACAGAAGAAATCTAACAGATTTGCTGTGTCTTAAGTTCTTATTTAATAAACTTGTACAACTTGCTGACCTCTAGGTGAACCCTGCTCCACCCTTTTGACTCCTTCTCACCTCTGCAGGTCCTGTTCCTGCTTTGTACCTTCCTAACAAAACTCTCCCCCAACCCAGTCTTCTGACTGGGAAAATGACATTTGTTCCTGAAGACCCTGTTTAGATAATAATGTTTTCTGGAAAGTTATTCCTCATGCAGATGGTAGGAGCATAGTTCCTTCCTTCCTCTCTGTCCCTGTTCTCCATGTTATTTATTCCTTTACATTATAATTTTCAAACTGCAGGCTAAATGATGAGGTTATCTTAACACATGCCATAAATCTTTGTTGGAAAGTAAAATATCCCTGCCTTCATATATCAGAAAGAAAAAGCTTAAGATAGTAAGAAAGCAGCTATTGTGTGTTTGTGTGTGTGTGTGTGTGTATCATTAACAGGTGAACATACAGTTCATCAGTGAGTCATCATTACTGGAGTTTCAGAGTTTTAAGGGAAAATAGCAAGAATGGGTATAAAGACTTCTTGTGTTTGGTGAAGTTGACTTGTAAATTAATGACTGTTCTGAGTCTTTCTCTTGTTCTCTTTTTCCTTAGTACTGGATGAACGAATACACCTCATCCATTGGGATTGGAGTTTTTCATTCAGGAATCGAAGTGTATGGCAGAGGTATGTCTCCATACACACAGTTTAAATATATTCATTCTGAAGATTTTGGTTTTTTTAAGGAAATGCAAATCATAATTATAGGTCTTTTTTATTTTTTGTCACTATTTCCATGTATTATTTTAAAAAGGAACATAAACTCTCTCTGTCCTTGTTTGTTTATACTGTGTTTGGAAAAAATGACCAACATAGAATAAGTTTGAGAAGGTACTCAAATACAGAGTATACATTCATTTCATTATCTTTTATCCTAAATAATATGTCTTATACAACATTTTCATCTTTTGAGATTGTTATGCCATGATTCATTAGTTCTAATACAGTTTCTAAGAAACTTCCCACTTTGAAAAATGGCAATGGCATGACAAAAACAATCATTTTTGGTTGGAAAAGAGCTGATGCTAGAGAATGTGAAACTTGAAACACCAATTTCCTGAGGGAATTTCAGAAATAATTAGGTTTTTAGACCTGTGTGTAGATATACACATAGTTAAAAATATCACTAAACACATCTTTGATTTCATCTAGCATTTTGCTCAAAAATGATAGATTCTTCTTCTGTGTCACCTTTTATTATGGTAAATGTGAAAGGAGCAGCTGTGTTTTCATTAGCTTTTCCTTTGTCTGTTCCCCCTCTCCGTGCAAAGTGATCTGCTCTTGATCAGGTTGCAAGCAGTAACAGTCTGCCTCTGTAGATCACATTGCCGAGTTCACTGAGGTTATACTAACACATCAGTTGGAATAAAAAAACTTACCCATAGCAGAAATGTCTTTTTTTTTTTTTCAATACTGAGGATTGAATTTAGGGCCTTGAGCTTGCTAGGCAGACATTCTAACACTTGAGGCATGTCTCCTCCCTTTTGTTTAATTTGAGGTAAAGTCCTGCTTTATGCTGGGCTGTTCTAGGCTGTGATCCTCCTACTTGTACTTCCTGAATTGCTGGGAATAACAGGCACATGCCCCTGTGCCCAGGTATTGTGCATTTCCTGTGGCTGGGATAACAGATGGACACCCACCACCATGCCTATCTGTTAATTGAGATGGAGTCTTGCAAAATTCTTTTTTCTTGAGCTGTTTTTGAGCCCCAATGCCTTGATTATAGGCTTGAGACACTTCACTGAGCTCAGAAATGTCTTTATTGCTTGCATGACTGGGAAGTCGTTATAATTGCTGAGAAAGTATTATTATTATAGTTGACTCAGGGCTAGCTCGTGTGTTTTGTTTTTTGTGTTTTTGTTTGGTTTGGTTTGTTTTTTTTGCGGTTCTAGGGATTGAACCCAGGGCCTCATGTTTGCTGGCCAAGTACTCTATATATCACTTAAGTGTGTCAGTATAGTAATTATTGCTGTCTTAGGAGAGGGGTTGCTAGGGACAGAATCCAAGACCTCATACATGGTAAGCTGGGCTCTCCTCCACAGCCACACACTGCTAATGTCTAATAGAACCAGAGCTTGAACGCACATGCTCTTAAATACCAGTCTTCCTGCCTACTCACTGATCCTTTTCTTAAAATGATTTAGGAATAATTAGAAGCATCATCCAATATACATATATATCCATCTAAACTTAGCAGAAAACGAATGACTTGTGCATTTTGTGTTTGTTTGTTTGTTTGTTGTGCTGGTATCAGGGTGCTCATGCTTTGCTCAGCCTTTTCACTCATAGTTGGCATTCTTTATCACTTGATCCATGCTTCTACTTCCAGCTTCTTGCTGGTTAATGAGAAATAAGTCTCAAGGATTTGTCTGCCTTGGCTGGCTTTGAACTGTGATACTCAGATCTCAGCTTCTAATGTCCAGTCTGATTATCTACAATATTTTTTAATAAGATTCTGTCAATAAAATATTTAAAGGGGCAGCAGAAATAGAGGTAAGACTCAAATGATAGAGTACTTACCTAGCAAATTCAAGGCCCTGAATTCAAACTATACCACCAAAAAGAGTTGAGGCTGAAGGTGTAGCTGTGGTTGAGACTCTTGAATTTAGACCCCAGGAAGAGGCGCTGTGGCTCAAGCGGTAGAGTGCTCACCTTGAGCTGAAGAGCGCAGGGACAGCACCCAAGCCCAGAGTTCAAGCCCCACGACCGACAAAAACAAAACAAACAGACCCCAGAACTATCCTCAAAAAAAATTAGGGTTGGTACAGTGATACATACCTGTAATCCCAGCACCCAGGAGGCAAGGCAAGAGGATTGTGAGTTCAAGCCCTACCTGAGCTACATAGCAAGGCCTGTCTCAAAAAAATGGGGGGAAAACCCCCTATGGTTTCTGTTTCTAAATGGGATAGTAAACATTCTCATTTGCATCTTGAAAGTCTGAATCAAAAGTAACCTTATACCAGCCTCGTTCTTTTCTATGCTGTGTTCTAAGACCTTTTGAGGTTCCACTTGATAAAAAGTGAGTTTAAAAATTTTTATTGTCAAGGTGTTACATAAGGTAGTGAGTGTATTTTTGTCAAACTTGTTACTCTCTCCCTCATTTTTCTCCCACTTGCCCTCCCAACACCCCCCTCCCCTACCCCCTCCACCCCGCCCAACAATCATTTTAATAAGTAAGCAGTACCTAGGAATTGTAGCTAGGCATGTTCCTCTTTCCTGATGTGAAACCATTTTCCATTTTGTTCTAGATGCAAATTTGTGTCTGAGCTAGAATATATGTACTGTACTGCATGCTGTACTCTGTTAGCTAAGGGATTTGCTACGCAGTGTTGGGATTGGCATAAGTTAATTTTGATAGCTTATTGCTCCAATGAGGGAAATTGAATTCAATGTTTCAGTTTAATCTTTTGCTTTTGTTTCAGACAGAGCTCCATCCACTATGTAGCCCAGGCTGGCCTCAAGCTCACAGTCCTTATGCCTCCAACTCCCAAGTGCCAGGATTACAGGCATGAACACAATGTTTAGTATGAATGTTACACTTTTTTTTTTTTTTTTTGGTCAGTCATGGGACTTGAACTCTGGGCCTGGTGCTATCTGAGCTCTTCAGCTCAAGGCTAGCACTCTACTACTTGAGCCACAGCACCACTTCTGGCTTTTTCTGTTTGTATGGTGGGCCTCATGCATGTGAGGCAAGCACTCTACCACTGAGCCACCTTCCCAGCCCCAGATGTTGTATTCATATTCCAACATAAATCAGACGTTTTTAGTCCTAAGGATGTAGCTTGGTGGCTAAGTGCTTACCTTTCATGTCAAAAGCCCTACATTCCGGGCTGGGAAGGTGGCTCAGTGGTGGAGCGCTTGCCTTGCATGCATGAGGCCCTGGGTTCGATTCCTCAGTATCACATAAGCAGAAAAAGCTGGAAGTGGAGCTGTAGCTCAAGTGGTAGAGCACTAGCCTTGAGCTGAAGAGCTGAGGGACAGCGCCCAGGCCCAGAGTTCAGGTCCCACAACTGGCCAAAAAAAGCCCTACATTCCATCCCCAGCACTGCAAAGAGAAAAGTCTTCACCCCTAAACAGGAAAACTGAATACCATTAGGCAATTTGGATTCTTCAGTAAAGTGCAAACCCCTGGGCTGCCGACCTAGATTGCCATAACAGCTATGCAGAACCTCCCCTTTTGAGTTAGTTACTCGCTTCTTGTCAGCATACCCAGAGTACACATAGCACTCATTACTGTGAAGTGTCTTTCATTATTAAGAGTTTCAGATCTTTTTTGACAACTGTTCTCTACTAATAAGAGCTAAATGAGATGTTTGTGAAAGACTTTTATAAACTAAAATATTTATCATTATCTTCATCATTTATTAAAGCTGATTCAGCATATTCTGGTTAAATTTTATGTGATAAATACTAAAAATCATGAGTTTTCTCTTTTCAGAATTTGCTTATGGTGGCCATCCTTACTCTTTTTCTGGAATATTTGAAATTTCCCCAGGAAATGCTTCTGAACTAGGAGAAACATTTAAATTTAAGTAAGTAGGGAGGATAATTTTTATTACATTGTCTTAGGTGCCAAAGCTTGTTTGCAGGCATACAGAATTCATTCTGTAGGTCAAAATCTTTAAAAGTTAAAATGGTTCTTTTTTTAGTTGCTGACACTTTATTTGTAAATTACATTTATTTGTATATAAAAAAGCAGATCAGTCAAATAAAGTGTCTTAAGTATATTGTTTTCATTCAGAACCTACATAGTTATTCTGTTTTTTCAAATACTCACCTATTTGGGAGGAAAGGAAAGAAAGTTTGGTGTGACTTACCTTCTCGTTTCTCCCACTTAATTCAGAATACTTCATTAATTTGAAATGACTACACTTGTTTAGCCTGAAACTGTTAAGATAAAGGTATTACATGCAATAATATACCTAAAATATGTGGCTCTGAGTGTTCTCTGAAGCCCTAGGAGTTATAAGCAGAAGTGGAAAAATGTAAATAGTAGTAATCAAATTTCCATTCCATAGTTAAGTGTTATATTTAAAGTGATATTTAGAATCTTAGTTTCAAGAAGCAGTGTCTAGTTCTGTAATAGTAAACTTGCCAAATGAAAGCTAGCTAATGAAATGAAATTATAATACAGAAATTTGGCCTAGGGCTCACACCACATTCAAACATCTTAGTTTGAATTGAGCCATGTATACATTCCAGTGCAGTGACTTATCCTGAGTCTATTCCTCAGGCTTCCCTCTGTGCCCGGCTACTTGACAACACGGTCTTTCTGTTATTTTCAGCTGTCTTGAATGTGTAAATTGTATCTGACTGAAACTATATGCTTTTTATTCAATAATGTCTTGCACTTTCTGGGTTGTAGCTTTAAGTGGTGTAGTTTTGTGGTGTTTGTTTGCTTTTTTTTTTTAATACTTTTAAATATTGTCAAGTTCCGTAGCTCATCTTACTATAGTACAGTAGGATATGACTTTTAAAGTTGTTTCTCAGTAACAATATGGCAAGCCCTTTGCTGGCAGAAATATTTTGAATATGGATCATGTTCTCTAAGTCTCATTTACCTTTAGTCGAATTGCATTAACTCTGATCTGTTACATCCATCATAATGTTCCTGGAAATAAGCATGTATTTAAATATATCTGAAACTCACACAGCTTTGTTCTTTTTCTTTTTTCTTTTTTCTTTTTTTTTTTTTTTAAGAGAAGCTGTTGTTTTAGGGAGCACTGATTTCCTAGAAGATGATATAGAAAAAATAGTAGAAGAACTGGGAAAAGAATATAAAGGCAATGCCTATCATTTAATGCATAAAAACTGCAATCACTTTTCTTCAGCTTTATCAGAGGTAAGTTCCATTTTATACTAAAAGTTCTTCTGATAACTTTTTATGTTATATAAGTGCTGTCCCACTACATTCAGTCTTGATTCTTTTTTTTTCTAATTAGCCATGTTGTGTAAGATACCGTATTATATTTCTTTCATTGTTACCTTTCCAGAGCTTATAATTTTAGAGTTAGCATAGTAAGTAGTAATTTTGTTCATCATGTTAGTCATGTTCTGTGGTTATGACAAATACCTTGAGAAAGACATCTTAAATGGATTTCACCTCCCTGAAAATCTGTTCATAGTAGACTGCTGTTGGTTTGGGACCACAGTATATCATAGCAGGAAATGTATGATAGCCAGAGCTGTGCGTCTCATGGTGCTGAAAAGCAGAGACACAGGAAGGGCCTAAGATTCTAATGTTCCCTTCAAGGGCCTGTCCCCCAAATCCTAACTTAGTTCCACTAGGCCCCACCTTTCAGTAGCACACCACAGGCTGGCCTTTAGCAAGCCTTTTAACACAAAAAACAAACTTAAAACTTGCACTTTCAGAAAGTAAATGCCAAGCTAGGTGTGGTGGCTTCTACCAGTGGTCCCAGCACTTGTGAAGCAGAAGCAGCAAGATTGCAAAGTAGAGGCCAGCTGGGCCTCTTAAGTTCCAGGCCAGCCTGGGCCACCTAGTAAGACTGTCTCAAAAAGACAACAAGCCTAAAAGGACTTGTGCTTCTTAGCTATTGAGATTTTCTTTTGCGGAATTTTAGTTGCCAACCTTAATTTTTTCCCTAATTTTTGTTAACAAGTAATTAATTTCTTCTGTCTTGAAATTTTATTCTGCCAACTTATTACACAGGCACTTGGTTGCCTTACCAATTCTTTTTTTTTTGGGTCCGGTCGTGGGGCCTGAACTCTGGGCCTGGGCGCTGTCCCTCAGCTCTTCAGCTCAAGGCTGGTGCTCTACCACTGGAGCCACAGCGCCACTTCCGGCTTTTTTCTTTTTGCTTATATGGTGCTGAGGAATCGAACCCAGGGCCTCAGGCATGCAAGGCAAGCGCTCTACCACTGAGCCACCTTCCCAGCCCACCTTACCAATTCTTGAAACACAAACAGAAGACTAAAACTAGAGCAAGGCCTGGGATAATAGCTCAAGTGGCATAGTGCTTGCCCAGCAAATACAAAGCCCTGAGTTCAAACTTCACCACAAACATAAATAGATAAATAAAACTAGATTAGGATTTAAAGGACTGTAAAAAGAAGACGGAGAGAAGAAATGAATGATGATATAAATAAGGTATGGAGAATTAAATGGAGATGGCTTTGACTCTCAGCACATCATTGTGGTTGCAATATCAACGTACGACAAACTGAAAGGTATGGATGAGTTGCTGCACAGTGACTTCCTCTGCAGAGAGGCTCAGCTAGATGGCCTTTTGCACTTCGCCTCCTTGGCTTCACCATGATAGCTTTCAAATACCATGATAGCAGGTTATTACTGTGATAGTCAAGTATAGTTCATGAGCAAGCAGTGTCACATAGAAATTTGTGAAATACATCTGATCTCTGCTCCACTACATCTGTTCCAGATCAGAAACTTCATTTTTAATAGAATGCCCAGGTGATTTGTACAGTAGTAAAGTTCAGTGGATGCGTCAGTACTATAAGATGCCCTAGTCAGTTTTAGGGAAGGAGGGGTGGGAACCGAGCATCCTTGACCCCAGATAGGATATTTGTACAGGATGTGTTCAGAAGTTCATAAGATAGGAAATTTGGCAGAGATAATAGACAGTATCTAGTCTATTACCTCCATTTCAACAAGGAAACATGTTATGAGAATTCAGATTAGACTGTGACTTCTTCATAAAGTAGTCACACTTCATCATTACTTTTTCTTATTCCAGTTTATTTTCTCTCTCAAACTGACAACTTAGCACCAGTACTACTGCTTTAACCCTGAAACCATATTACAGTTGATACCTAAAGAATATTTGTACATGTCTGTCAGTCACCTTTTTACGACACAGTTTTTATGTTTTAAACTGATACATAGAAGTGATTTAGCCAAGACCACCCAACTTGTTAGTGGTGGCACCAAAACTAGAACTCTAGATAATGAAGGATGTGAGAAGCTAGTCTTGAGCTGGTGGCTTACCTATAATCCTAGCTACTTAAGAGGCTGAGGTCTGAAGATCATGGTTCTAAGCCTGCCTGAGCAGAAAAAGTCCATGAGACTCTTTATCACCAATCAAATGTGTACACGTCACATACCTCCCACACATATATAATGCATGTGTGTGCACATGCACAATTGCCACCCCCCCCCCCCCCAGCCATGATCTCCAAAGGCACCTATAATATTAAGTATTTAGGTATTTAGTAACACTGCAGTGAGGGAAACATGAGGACAGGAGGTTTAATGGTTTTGTATATTGTACTTATTGCATCTGTGGATGGGTAGATGATAGAAATGGAGATATAGCTTGTAATTTCACAAGTGCTGAAGTGATCAAGGAAAGTAGGCAAAAAAGTGTCAGTGGAGGGGCTGGGAGAGTGGCTCATTGAGTAGAGTGCTTGCCTTGCATGAGGCCCTGGGTTCAATTTCTCACACCACAGAAACAGAAAAAGCTGGAAGTGGTGCTGTGGCTCAAGTGGTAGAGCACTAGCCTTGAGCTGAAGAGCTGAGGGACAGCGCCCTGGCCCAGAGTTCAAGCCCCACAACCGACCCCCCTCCCCGGCCGCCCCCCCCCAAAAAAACAACTTTTTGCTGCTCTAGGTGAATAGAAGTTTAATCCCTTTGTGTATTAAAAGCAAACAACGTCCCCATGACTGATGATTTTTGTCTGTTGGAACCTCTGAAAAAAGGACATCCACATAAAAAGAAGCAATCTCTAGATAGAAATATACTATTATACTATTAATGTTGTTAAAGTACTCTTCAGTGGCTAATGAATGTCACAAATCAGATGTTTAACCCTTCGAGGCTGGTGAGTGCCCCTGCTGTGCTTATTTGTGAGTGGATCCTAGAAAGGGCTTAGGACAAGCCTTGTTTGCTTGTTTGAGCTTTGAAACATGGGTAACTGGTCTCCAGTACTTTACTGCTGCCAAAGAAAAGTCTATGGCTCATTTTAGAGTCCCAAGTTGAGATTCTAATTGTCTGAACTTGACACATGAGTTAAAACCTGACATCTGCTGCTCATGGTTTTTACCTCCGTGCAGCTCAGTCAGTCACGTGGAGGACAAGATTTCCACTTGGGAATTGTGACACACAGGACACCCTTCAATGAAGCCTAAGCTATAAAACATGGCTGTTGACGGAACTGTCTGGGGTACTTGCAAGTGGCCCCAAGAAGGAACTGCTTCTGTCTTCTGGCACAGAGGCTCAGTCTAATCTCATTACTCAGGAAGTAGTGAATCAGAAGGATCATTGTTCACGGCTAGCCTGGGCAAAATGTTAGCAAGAACCCATCTCAGTAAACCAGGTATGATGGCTTATTGCTAATCTGTTCGACCTAGCTATATGAGAAGCCATAGGTGCCAACCTAAGCAAGTGCAAGTCCCAAATCCAAACCTCAGTAGCACCAGAAAAAAAGAAAAGGCCTCTTCTCTGGCTAGGCCATCTAAAATGAAGTCTTGTGTTACCATAGAGGAGATAATTACTTTCCTGACTCTTGGTTATTGTCAGAAGCCACAGCGCCAGGAATGGGACCCAAGTTTGCAGCAGTGGACTGATGGCCCAGCCCCCTCCCCATTCTGGTGTACACATTGTAGCAAATGCAGCTCACAGAAAAAGAGAGACGGTGAAGATGAAAGGGGCAAATGACTATATACCCATTTTGAGTTTTTCTGAAAACTCAGGATTTGAGTTTTCTAACTTTTTTTTTCTGCTTATACAAAAATATTTCTCTATAAAACTTTGGTTCCTGCTGAGTACCAATGGCTCATGCCTCTAATCCTAGCTACTCAGAAGGCTGAAATTGAATATCAGGGTTCTGAGACATATCCAGGGAACTCTTACTGCATTAACAAGCAAAAAGCTGGAACTGGCTGTGTGGTTCAAGTGGTGCCAGCCTTGAATGAAAGAAGCTAAGCGAGAATATAAGGCCCTGAGTATTCGGTACTGGTGAGAGAGAGGGGGAGAGGAGAGAAGGTAGGTAGACAGATAGACAGATTTCCTCTTTGATACATACCTTCCCGAGAGTGGTGGATCATTTTTTAAATGTGAAGTTATGATTACAATATGAGATGTACTGATTTTGCAATGAGAAAAATAAACCCCTGGCACCTAGGGAAGCTCAAAGGAAAGACATTTTTTTCTTTCCATACTAAATTTCTGAGGTGGTCTTGTTGTTTTTTTGGAGGGGGAAGTTGTTTTCATGGCCTTACACTCTACCTACCACTTGAGCCCCAGCTCCAGATTCTCTGCTTTTCAATACTGCCTTTTCTCCCTTCCACTCTCCATGCTCCTTTTTAAACTGCTGCATGTACTTTCAGTGCTACCCACTGCTGACCCTAAGCTCACAGCCGTCAGTGCTCACTGAGCATGCATCCTGAACAAACCATTGAAATTGCGTTCAGTAAGATAGCCCAGAGGTGCCTCCAGACTTCACCTCTTCCTTTACCAGGCTATGAGTACTCTGCATACCGAGTCCTTGAGTCCTCTCAGCAAATGATCACAAGTGATGGTTGTTTTAGGGACCTGTGGCACCATTCCTATCTTTCCTGCCTTGAAAATGTGGTTTTGCATGTTTCTTCCTTCCCAGCTATAGACTTATCTTCTTTTTTTGGGGGGGGGGGGGGGTCCGGTCGTGGGGCCTGAACTCTGGGCCTGGGCGCTGTCCCTCAGCTCTTCAGCTCAAGGCTAGCACTCTACCACTTGAGCTACAGCACCACTTCCGGCTTTTTTCTTATGTGGTGCTGAGGAATCGAACCCAGGGCCTCGAGCATGCAAAGCAAGTGCTCTACCACTGAGCCACCTTCCCAGCCCCTAGACTTATCTTCTTTCTGCATAGTCACTGTCTGGGCCTCAGCTTTGATCAGTGATTGGGGGGGGGGGGTGTCTCACAGACTTTCCTGCCCAGGCTGGCTTCGAACCATGATCCTCAGATCTCAGTCTCCTGAGTAGGTAGGATTACAGGCATGAGCCACCAGCACTCAGCTTAACCAAGTTTTTGTTAATACACTTGGATTATTGGCTTTCTGCTATTGCAAAAAATAAAAAATAATATAATGAATTCCCCACATACCTCTTTATATCTCAGTGTATCTATTGAGATAGATTCTTGGAAAAAGGATTACTGGACCAAAGCTTAAAGGCAAAGCTGATTCTGCTGCCTGAACAGAATACTATTTGATTATTGACCACAGTAAGAAGATTTTAAATTATGGCCCAATTTATACACATAACATGTGCATACCTAAGACATTACAATTACCTCCCTATCAGCAGTCTACTTCATTTTAAATCAAAATTTAGATTGCAATGCTAAATGACCATGGCCTTGATTTTAAACTTATAAAACATTGACCCAAAAGTTGGCAAACTTTGGAAAGAGACAGATGGTGAATATTTTTGGTTTGTGAAGTATTCATGATCTCAACTCTGCTTTTCCCCATTGTAGTAAAGCATCATAGGGCAATATCTAAATGAATAGGTAAAACACAGGTGTTCCAATAAAACTATCTCTAAAAAAAAAAAGCTGGCTATTGATCACAGACAAGCTACAATTAGGATAGCATAGACCTCAGTTTCACCTTTATCACAATGAAATATGGAGGAGAATATAAAAAAAGAACTCAGCCGGGTACTAGTGGCTCAGGCCTGTAATTCTAGCTACTCAGGAGGCTGAGATCTGAGGATCTCGGTTCAAAGCCAGCCCAGGCAGGAAAGTTTGTGAGACTCTTATCTCCATTAAACCACTCAGAAAGCCATAAGTGGTGCTGTGGCTCAAGTAGTAGAGTGCTAGCCTTGAGCTGAAGATGTGAGGGACAGCACCCAGGCCCAGAGTTCAAGCCCCATGACTGACAAAAACAGCAACAACAACAAATAAGAACTCAAAAAGGAGAATGAGAGAAGTGGCCGTTGAATGTGATAGCCATAGCTATTAGCCACTTACGTGATAAATTTCCAAATACACAGAGAGCTCTGTTTCTCAGGTGTAAGAGACAGTATTTGTTTGCCTCTGCTTTTAGGACTAGGCAGGTATGAATGGTATTGTATAAGGTCATTGCTCAGCTTCCTCCTAGATCTTCCCACATCCACATTCCTCAAACATTTCATTTTTGTTTTGCCAGTCCTAGGGTTTAAACTCAGGGCCTGGGCTCTGTCCTTCAGCTTTTGTGCTTAATTCTTGTGCTATACCACATGTGCCACAGCTCTACTTCTGGCTTTTTGGTGATTAACTGGAGATAAGAGTTTCAGGGATTGGGGCTGGGAAGGTGGCTCAGTGGTAGAGCGCTTGCCTTGCATTCTCAAGGCTCTTGGTTCGATTCCTCAGCACCACATAAACAAAAAGAAAAAAGGTGGAAGTGCACTGTGGCTCAAGTGGTAGAGTGCTAGCCTTGAGCTGAAGAGCTGAGGGACAATGCCCAGGCCCAGAGTTCAGGCCCCACGACCGGACCCAAAAAAAAAAAAAAGAGTTTCAAGGATTTTCTATGATCTTCAGATCTGAGCCTCCTGAGTTGAGTAGCTAGGATATAGGCGCGAGGTGCCAGCGCCCAGCTCTGAAACACTTGAGGTACTTTTCTGGCCCTGCACTCTCAGGTTCTGTGACAGAAGCTGCACAGTCAACAATGACTGGTATTAGTTCTTCTATTGGAGATGGAGAGAGAAAAGGACTCTGGAGTTCTGGGTCACTAGGGGAGCCAGAAGTGTGAGTCACCCTCCAGGAAGGCTTCCACCCAGCACCCGTCTCTCCCCTACTAGAGTCTGGACTGAAGTTTGGCCAAACTTCCAGGTCTTGTCTGACCGTGGCTCTGCTTCTGCAGAGGTATCCTAGAGCCAAGTCTTCATGGGGGGAGGGGGGAGAGGCAGGGGGTACCTTTCTCTGGAGCTTCCCTTGAAACGAGTGGGTTAGGGTCAAGGCAAACGGGTAGTGTGTGGACTAGGAAAAACTGAATAGCCTGGGGAAAATTAGGAAAGGACCTGTGAAAAGTGAGAACTGATAAACTACTCAAGACTGACTCAGCTGCTAGGGCTTCTAGTACTCTGAGGATAACTTTGTGGGAGGCAGCATCTTCTGTGCTCTGTACTCCTCTTCCATTTGCCCTGAGGCCCTTCAAGGTGGACAGAAGCCGAGTGGAGTTGGCTAGACTCTGCTGAAGTGATTAAGCAAGCAGCTTGACAAGCTAGGGAAGTCCTGAGTTAGGGAAGGCTGGTGAGCAGTGGCCTCTGTACTGCCTCTCCCTCCTGCGTGGCAGCAGCCAGACCACCTTAACCCCGTTCCTAATGGAAAACTCTCTTCCCCACAGATTCTTTGTGGGAAAGAGATTCCTCGCTGGATCAATCGACTTGCCTACTTCAGCTCCTGTATACCCTTTCTCCAGAGTTGCCTCCCAAAGGAGTGGCTCACTCCTGCAGCCCTGCAGTCCAGTGTCAGCCAGGAGCTCCAGGATGAGCTGGAAGAAGCAGAGGATGCCGCTGCATCCGCCGCTGTGGCGAGCACTGCCGCAGGCTCCAGACCCGGGCGCCACACTAAGCTATAAGTGTCTCCAAAGTCACCTTCAAAACTGTCTCTGGCAGTTGAACATCGTTAGAGAAAAGAAAACAGAGTAAGCATCCTTTGGGTACTTTGTATGCAAAGATGGCTCTCCCCCAATCCCAGTTTTTCAGCTCAGGATTATATTTGTAATCTTTAAAAAAAAAAAAGTATATATATATAATATATTATATATATATAATCTATCTATCCCTTGTGTAGGAGGGAGAACTTTCTATGAAGCAAGCTACCCTCTGGTTTTTTACCCACTTGTAAATTTGGATTTACTTCTGTTTTATACAAGCTCTGTTAAGTTATGTTTACAGTATTTTGTATCGCTGTTTACAAATCTTGCATGGACTTCTGCCATTGTAAAAGAAGAAAATACTCATCTTCAAAAATGAGGCAGGTAATTTCATACACTTCCTGACAATTGCCAGAGCAACAGCATAAATAATAGGCACACAAAAAGTTCTACACAGAGTTCTATCACCTGCTTAAGAATTGTCTTTTAGATTTGTATTAGCATTGTTGGCAATCAGATGCAGAGAACCAAACTGGCCTGATAGGTAGGAACACACGGCCCCAAGGTCTTAGGACTCCAGCTGGGCCCTTCCGTTTCTGAGTAGCACATCTCCCAGGTGCCCATGGGACAGTTGCTTTCATCCCACATAGCTGTCCACCTAGGCTGGTGATACTCTCCTGTCTGCCTAGCTTGATGCCTTTGATTCAAAAAAATCAAGATTTCCATTGAAGACATTCTTGTAACTGACGAGTGTTTTTGCACATGTGCTAGGGAAGGAACTCCATTTTTAATAGCAAATAATTTCTTCCTCACACAAGATTTCATTGATGGGATAGGAATGACCTAAGTAGTAGCCTTCTGAGTAGCAGTATGAATTGACATCAACTGCTTTTAACTCTTCAGACTACCTTTTATACTAGTCCTCAGAAACTATAGCTAATGAAACACCACCAGATAGGTAATTCTTTGGTACTTCATACTTTTTAGGTTCCATGCCAGAAACAGTATGTCAGAATTGTTAGTGATGGGGGGTAGGCTCCCCTTGTAATAGAAAGCTTATTCTTACTGACTTCTTGTTGAAAAAAAAGTCATATTTATGTGTCTTTAAATTCATCTTTTTATATCCCCTCAAATGTATGTCTCTTACCTAACATACTCTTGAGATGGAAGTTGTCACCACAGGAAAGTCCTCATTAGCAAGGAATCTGTCTGCTTGTGTCTGCTCCCAGTGAAACTCTTACATGTAAGAAACAAGTCATTTCATGTCCCGTTCCATGAATGAATGTTCATTGATGACTGTCCTATATAAAATATTGGCAAGAAGAAAAATGATCCAAGGCAGTGACTTCAGCATTATATATGCTGTTGGGTTTGAAATTTTTTACATGTATTTAAACTTTTGGATTGGATTGTGTGCTATCTCTATGTGAACATACATGTCTTTTAGTTAACTACATTTTTAACTTTTCCATAAGCTGATTTTTATCAACTTAAGCACACCCTGTTCATAGGGAAAATAAGCCTTGGGTTCTAAGCATAAACCTGAGGAAAATGAAGCCACTTTATACTTTCTGACTGTTTTATATCTGCATCCAGCAAGGAAAGCCTTTACAGATCAGTGTCAGTTCTATTACAGGCTGAGCACTTGTTTTAAGAGATGTGATAAAGGCTGGGAATGTGGCTCACATGGTAGAGCGCTTGCCTAGCATGCATGAGGCCCTGGGTTTAATTCCTCAGTACCACATAAGCAGAAAAAGGTAAAAGTGCTGTGGTTCACATGGTAGCGTGCTAGCCTTGAGCAAAAGAAGCTCAGGGACAGTGCCCAGTCCCTGAGTTTAGACCCAAGAACTGGCCGAGAGAGACAGAGACAGAGAGCTGTGTTAAGAAAGGAGGAACATATGACCTTTGTGAAACACTGACTTGGTTCAGTTCTAGATGGAGAATGGGGATAAACATGACTCTAGCCGTAAGTTGTTCACTATGCAAAGAGTGCTAGCACCAAAACCCAGGTCAGTAGAAGAAGTGTTTGATGCCACTGGATTGGGATTTTAAAATAGTCTGGATCACAGCTTTTGAAATACGCATGTTTTAAACCTGGGCTACTGCTCCAGAGGAGTAGCCTGCCTTGGTTAGACGTTCCTGTGTACGGAGCCATGAACATCTCATTTTGTGCCTGCGTATCTAGAACAGAACACCTCAGCACACAGATGACTGTATGGTTATTTCATTGTAGCTGTTTTCATCGGCAGCTTTTGCAGCTTAGAAATAATGTGAAGGGCCCTAAGAAAAAATCAGTGGCATAAGGCCAATTATCTTACTTACAGCAGATAAACTTCTAGACGTGTGACTATTCACAATCTAATTGTAGCTGAAGATAAAGAAAATCTCTTAAGTTTGGTCCTTCTCTACAGCTCAAATTAAGAACTAAAAGCATCCAGCCTGCTTTTATGTTGCCCCTGAAGGCTTCAGAAAGAATCTTGTTCTTTCTACCTGGACTCATTCTTAAGAAAAATTCATGTTAAAAATATGGTTATAGCCGGGCGCTGGCGGCTCACGCCTGTAATCCTAGCTACTCAGGAGGCTGAGATCTAAGGATCGCGGTTCAAAGCCACCCCGGGCAGGAAACTCCGTGAGACTCTTTTCTCCAATAAACAAACACTCAGAAAACCGGAAGTGGTGCTGTAGCTCAAGTGATAGAGCGCTTGCTTTGAGCTGAAGAGCTGAGGGACAGCACTCAGGCCCAGAGTTCAAGCCCCACGACCGACAAAAATAAATAAAAATAAAATAAAAACCTGGTCATTAATGTTCATGTGATCAGTGGGGTCAGGTGAACTTTTTGTAGTTGTAACCAAGTAAAACAGATTTCTCCTGGTGGCTTGAACAGTAAGAATAGTGTTACAAGTCAGATGCTTCTAGTTTCTCCTATTTGTTTTCAAGACCCTTGGGTTTTTTGTTTGTTTGTTTGTTTTACCCTAAGCGAGGGACATCAGCTTTGGGAAGTGTGGTGGTACAGTCTGAGAGAGCCTCCACTTGATGCCTGAACTCCAGCCACAGCAGTAGTGTCGATGACCCATCACCAGCACTGGTGCAGAGCAGGGACTGCTGGTTTTAGCACACGGACAGCTGCGTTGTCTTCCATGGCCGCTTCCATCACACAGTAGGAGCAGCACTCACTGCTTCAGGGTTCTAATCTGTCTTATGGCTCCATTTCAGTAAGATACCCTGTCATTTTAACGCATACTATTTTTCATTAAGTGACTTAAGTTCGAAAGGCTTGTTTTCTATAGCAGATTAGCCATACCGTCTTGTATTCCCTTCTCTTTAGTATGGTTTGAGGGTGCAGCGTAATTTGTTAGACTTTGGCAGTCCGCTCAGTTCTTACACCGAAGTGCGCACATCTTCGTGTGGGAAGTGCTCAGCTGTCAAGACTCTCCACCGACGCCGCTGTCCGTCCTTCAGAGTGTCTAGAACAGTGCCGGGCGTCGTCACTTTTGCTACCTTGATAATAGCATTGGGCTATCATGTTATAACATTGAAATACATCAATTTATTAAAAAATACTTTCATAAGAAATGTTTTACAGTGCTTTCTGACCCCCAGGAGCCCACTCTGTTGCGGATCTGTGTCAGTCCCTCTGCTCCGCAGAGCGTGGCCTGCTCCGGCCGTCCTCCTCGGTACTCACTGGTGCTGTAGTCCAGCGTGCTGCTCTTGTGCTCAAGTCCATGCGCCAGCATGACCGCCGTGAGAGAACACAGACCACAGCACATGGGTGGGCGGCAGACGGCCTTCCTGGAGAATGGGGAGAGAGGCTGCAGAAGCTCCCCAGCCTTCCACACATGCGCACACATGCCATACACACACATCCTTCTCTAGGCAGCAGTCGAGTAGGAGGAACTGGGACGCCGGGGTTCCTTATCTGCCTGCTAGTTATCTCCAACCCAATCCTTCTCCCTTTCCTTCCATTGGCCCTTTTGTATCTAGCTGATACTCTCCTCTACTAATTTAAAATCTTCTCTTGAATGGAGTTCTATGAAAGATGCACTGCCGTCTGTCTGGGCTGTCCGTGTTTGTCCACTCTTTACCTTCTTCTCAGGACAGGAACCAAAGGAGAGCAATCCCTTAGGATGCCAGGATTCCTGGTAGACTGAGCAGGAGGTCACCAACTCAGATCTGCTACTGCTGCGCTAGACTCTTCCCTTGAGAAAACAGCCAAGCAAGGACCCTGGGGCACAGGAGCTATGTTGCTCCTCCAGAGTCAGACTTGAAACTCTCCTGTCCCCTAGGTATCAGCCTCGTTCTTTCTAACTCACAGAAGTCTGCTGAGCCATATGCTAGTGGCTCATACCTGTAATCCTAGTACTCAGTAGCCTGAGATCTGAGGATCATAGTTCGAAGTCAGCCTAGGCAGGAAATCCATGAAACTCCTGTCTCCAATAAAGCCAGACATGGAACTGTGGCTCAAGAGGTAGCGTACCAGCCTTGGGCAAGCTCAGGAACAGCACCCAGCCCCTAACTTCAAGCCCCAGAACTGGCGTGTGTGTGTGTGCACGCACACGGGTCTATACTATAAAGATGGGTCTGTAGTTGCTAAAGTTTTGAAAAATAAATTGGTGGTCAACATCTACCTGTTTTCTTTTAGATTTACAGCCTGAGGCCTGCTCCGCCTCTCAGACCTGTCCCTTCAATCTGCTTCCCTCCTGTCAAGGCCCAAGGGACCAGTAAAGGAACAAGAGCCTCCTCACCCAGGTCAGGAAGGCATTCATTTTCCAAAGACCAGATGATCATAGGTGATCATGCCAGGGCTTCATGGTCCTGCCCAGTCCGGGAAGGGCTGCGGTTCCAAGTGACCCTGGGCCACTGCAGTGCTGCCGAGGGCCACCACCCGGAGGCCATCCTGATACCACCACACCCCCACACACACACACCGGCAGCTGCCTGGCTCAGCGCTCCCTCTCGGCCGCTGGGTGGGCTGCTGCCCTTCCACTGTCCCTCATCCCACGTGGTCCACGGGCCTTCCTCCTTGGGCAACATTCAGATTGTTCCAAAGGCCCAGACATAGCTCAGCTCTCCATAGAGCCTGAAAACGAGCAAAGTCAACCTCATCTCTAAGCTCAACCTTCAGAGTAGCATGAGCGAGGCAAGCTCTGCTCTGCACTGAAGACACATTTGATAGGAAGAACGAATCAGGAAAAGTGATTCCTTCCACGGCACCCGGCAGCCCGGGCATACTTAGCCACTAGACTGGAGTGCAGAGCGCAGAGGTAGAAAGGCCCAGGAGCAGAGGCGCCACACTTGGCCCTCAGTGAAGAAATGCTTCCCCCCCGCCAGCATCAGGGAGTGGGGCAGGGCCACGAACTTTCCCCGGCATGGCCCTCTGTCAGGCAGTTGGTCATCCACGAGAGGCCAGTGCTCCTCGAGTGACAGAAAGTAACTGCCTCAGGTCGAGTAGGAAGAGCAAGCCTAGAGGCAAGTCCTCTTCTTCGCTGTGCGGGCAGTAGTGGGCACCACACACGTTTGTCTCCACAGCTTGACTAACTCCTGCTTCACCCACTGACAGTCCAAGAGCAAAGACGCCAGAGGAAAAGCCCACCTGTAAGCCTGGCCAGTTCTCAAGCTTTCCATTCAGGCACCCTGCTGGTGTGAGATGGAAGTTAGCATGTTCCCAGGCCCCCAGTGTCTCCGGCCCAGTAGGACCACACTTAAATTCTGTGCAGGGCTGTCTGCCATGACAAATGAGAGCTTCCTAGATGAGCTCCCCATTGAGTAGCCTAGACCAAAGGTAGTAGATGTGGGGCTGTCTCCATTTACTGGGTTTGCCTGGGTTATTGAAGTAGCTTGCGCTGGCGCCCTGGGGAGTTGTCCGGGTTGGTCACCTGGCAGCCCTTGTTCCAGCACTGAGGCCTGGGCTCGGTGTGGTGGCCCGTCCTCTGTGCTGGCAGCCCAGCTTGCCTCAGTCTTCACCTAGGCCCAGGCTTCCCCCGCCTCCCCCCCAGGGCCTGGCCCCATCTGCCTGCACTCAGTCCTTGCTGTCTGCAGGGCCCCCGGAGTCCCCAGTCCATGTCCAGCTGCTTTACCTGCAGCGCTGCTGCCTCTTGAGGGGCCGGCTCTCCTCCGACCCCCGCTGCTTCCTCCTCAGCTCTGCGGCCCTCCGCCCCACTGAGCCTTGTGCCACC